TTTTTAATTGTAAATATTATTAATTGGTGCAATTGTCATGTCTGTAGCATGAAGGTGCAACACTCTCACCGCGTGCTTCGTCACAATAAACACATCTATTAAACTAAGTTTAAGAAGAGCATATTACTTTTTAGCAAATGTGATTATTGATATATAAATAATACACTTGCAATATGTTTTCTCTACGCTACTGTGTTACTTCCTAAACTGACAAAAACAGAGCTGTGGATTTTATGGATTTTCGTGAAAGTCAAATATTTTGTTGCAAACGAATACAAGTAAAGACATGGTAATGTCTTGAAAATAGTCAGTAACCTAATTATTCATTTCACGTCACATCTAAACCCAATTATGTCATGGTTTAAGTTTTAATAGTTTACAACCCTATTTGCCGATATAGATAATGAAGGGTATGACATACATCCAAAACATCATTGTGTAACTAAAGTGTTATTTCTTTGCGCAATAGATGTGTTTTTTGTGACGAAGCACTCGGTGAGAGTGTTGCACCGTCATGCTACAGACATGACAATTGCTTTGTGTACAAATACACCAATTAATAACATGTACAATTAATAAATCAATATTGGAATTAATGCATATGTGGTGCAGTAGGATAAGATACCGGATGCATAATAAAATACACATAAACTCCACATTACTAACACTTTCATATAGACAGATCAATTAACTCAGTTCTTATGCAGGATAGACTAACATTTAGTCTCTGAAATCTTATATTACACAATGTCCTTCTTGAAAAAAATTCCCTATGCTGATTTCAGATAGAGCTAGCTTGAGCTGGCTAGACTTGCTTTTGTATGCATTTCTAGATTATTATTTTTAATAAAATAAATATATTCCACGGTCATGGTGCAGGGCTTTGGGGAGGATTTCAACAGTATAAACTGCCGGGCAAAGAAAATATACACCTATATTTGATGGTGGCTAAAATGGAAAAAAGACAAGAAATGGTAATTTCACAGTGATGTATATGAGACTGGTATCAACGTTTCAGTGACTGTTTTCAATCTAGAAACGTTTTGATAACGTTTGTAATTATTTGGTCAAGTACTATCTTCTCTTGGCCGGCAGTATATACACACCTGAACACTGAACACCTGAACACTGAACACCTGAACACTGTTCAGCTGAACTCACTATCTAGTTTCCTATATCTTGAACTTTCTTGTAACGTCAGGAACACCTAGGTAGAATGGCATGTAAATATATATCTACGACACCGTCGATATCGGATGGATATTTGTATTATAGGATCGTACACGTTATTCTGGAAGACACAAGTTCTTGTTCGCATCAAAATAAAAGCGATTGAGAGAATAATCAAATACCTGTTGAAATGGCTTCGAAAAATGACAATCGATAATCGATTTACGTGTCAGTGTTAGGATTTCAGTATGGGTACGTCAAATTGTGAACAAACATATGTATTTCATCAAACCTTTAGTACAGGTATACGATTGTTACAAATGACTAGTTGATATGGAAACATAGCTTACGCAGTAGACAGGTGGGGATTCGTGATTTGTTTCTTGCTTATTTGTTGTGGTTAAAGCCGCGCTCTGGAAATAATCGGGTCTGGACCAGACAATTCAATGATTGACATCATGATTGGCTAATCTTTTAAGGCATACACGTTTAACACACGTCTGTATGTGTATATGTGGGTGTGTCTATCTGTATGTGTGTGTGTGTATGTATATGTGTGTGTATGTCAGTCTATGTGTGTGTGTGTTTGTCTGTCTGTATGTGTATGTATGTGTCTGCGCATGCGTGTGTCCATCTGTATGTGTGTATGTGTATGTATGTCTGTCTGCATGTGTGTATGTGTGTGTATGTATGTCTGTATGTATGTGTGTATGTCCGTATGTGTATGTATGTGTGTATATGTGTGTTTGTATGTGCATGTGTGCGTATGTCTCTCTGTATGTTTGTGTATGTCTATATATGTGTCTGTCTGTATGTGTGTATGTCTTTCTGTATGTGTGTGTGTGTGCATGTCTGTCTGTATGTGTGTGTATGTATGTCTGTATGTATGTGTGTCTGTCCGTATGTGTATGTATGTGTGTTTGTATGTGCATGTGTGCGTATGTCTCTCTGTATGTTTGTGTATGTCTATCTATGTGTCTGTCTGTATGTGTGTATGTCTTTCTGTATGTGTGTATGTCTGTCGGTATGTTTATGTATGTGCGTATGTGTGTTTGTCTCTCTGCATGTGCGTGTGTGTGTATGTATGTATATGTATGTATGTGTTTCTATGAATGTGTGTATGTCTGTCTGTATGTGTATATTTGTGTGTGTGTGTCTCTGTGTATGTATGTATGTGTGTCTGTCTATCTGTATGTGTATGTATGTGTTTCTATGACTGTCTGTATGTGTGTGTCTCTGTCTGTATGTGTATGTATGTCTGTCTGTCTATCTGTATGTATGTGTATGACTGTCTGTATGTGTGTATGTCTGTCTGTATGTGTATGTATTTGTGTCTGTCTATCTGTATGTGTATGTGCGTATGTCTGTCTGTCTGTTTGTATGGTTGTCTGAATGTGTGTGTCTGTCTATATGTATGTGTATGTATGTGTGTGTGTCTATCTGTATGTGTATGCCTGTCTGTATGTATGTGTGTGTTATTATTATATTAATTGTTTATGTTAGTATTTACTAGTATATTATTTCAAACCAGAAATGAAGAAGTGCTAAAGCAGTTGCACAGGTTGTATATATAGCGTTAGATTAAACGCCGTGAGTGGAATGCCATGCTGCGCTTCAAGGGGACGGTTAACCCTGCAGGGGCGAGGTGTTAGGTCCGTGTGGTTGGGGAACTGTCACACGTGGGCTGAGTGTTGTAGCCGGCGGATCACGTACAGTCACACGTCTATGTCACGTCGTAATGGACAACTAATTTGCCGTGTGTTCCAGTACGTGATTATCGACTGCAGTTTATCAGTCGCCTAAAGCATATGGATGGGTTTGTTTTACCAACATTATCTAGGTGATATCATAATGACACTCGATGTATGTGACATCCACACACACACTACATTGTCCCGTGAAGATCCGGGTTAGATGCACTCTTTACCAACCCATGCTTGCCGTAAGCGACTAACGGGATCGGGTGGTCAATCTCGCTGACTTGGTTGATTCATGTCATCGCATCTTAATTGCGTATATCGATGTTCGTGATGTCAATCACAAGATTGTCTGATGACTTGATTATTCTAAAAATCCTATCGCATAGACAGTATATTACCGAGGGCGTTAAACAACAAAGCAGTTGCTGTTGTGTGTGACACATACAAAATATAGAAAAGGTAGAAATGTTAGTATGTTTTAAAGATTGTGATCAATGTGTGACGTCGTTATAGATAATAACGTGCTGTAACACTTGTCCTGAGTTGCTGAAGTGGATTATTACAAATCGAATATTTGAAGATAATATCAATGTATTTTGATAAAATGCCATCAAAAGTCACCATTTCTCCAATTTCATATATATATATATATATATATATATATATATATATATATATATATATATATATATATATATATATATATATTTAACACATACGTGTACCGTGCCTGTTGCAGATAATGTCCATTAATATACATTATGTTTTGGTTTCATACATTTTGTCCGTCTTATTCCTCTTTAAGAATCGTCGAAAGTTGGCATATTTTCTCCATGAGTTATTTTGTTTATAGCGAAATATAATATGAGCCTCATAAAAATATCGGATTCCCTAGAAAACAACGTTGTATTTTATTTTTTAAAGTAACCCTGAATCCGAAGAGAAAATAATCAATTCGTTGTGGCTCACATATTTCCTTGGAGCATTAGAGTTCTCGGGGCATGAGTTCTGTATGACTAGAATAGTTATCTAAACTGTCGAGCAAAAGAAAGCTTGAAAATTGGATTTTATCCCAAAAAATACAAACGTTCTCAACACGTAAATAGGATGAACACAGTACACGACAAACTCAAGGTCCAAGACACAACCACGATGCCCGTGTCAAACACAGGACCATCGAATAACTATTTCTTATTAGTTTCATTTTAGTCACCATCAAACGTGGATGTATATTGGGTTTTTCGTCCAGAGGTTTAGTTATACAGCTAGTTAATTTAGATATGTTGTAACCATAACTCAATCAACGGTATCGTTGCTCCAACTCATGCTGTTTTGCAATTTTCAACCCTATTTTTCTCGTATCGGTGTCGAAACGTTTTGTTCACATACTACGCAATTAAACGAAGTATCGAGTATTATATAACGAACACGCTTATAACGAACTGAGGGATATAACGAACTGTTTTAATGTCCCGGCCATTTGCTGAAGATATGCTGAATATATGCTTACAACGAACTTCGTTTGTAACGAACCAAAATTAGCAATCCCTTTTAGTTCGTTATAACCGTAGTATACTGTATATTACATAAACAAGACTTCCAAACACATTTACAGCATCCAAAGTTTTCTATTCACATGAATATCTTTGCTACTCCTGAAGGTGTTAAACTAAAATAAAATTGGTCCTATCTGGGTTTTTCAGCGGTTTAACTGAAAACACCCTCGATTATCCAGTGTATTTGTATCCCCAATCTAGTATGATAAATCCCGGGGCTAAAGGGTGCGATTATCACGTGTATTGTATCCCCAATCTAGTATGATAAATCCCGGGGCTAAAGGGTTCGATTATCAAGTGTATTGTATCCCCAATCTAGTATGATAAATCCCGGGCTAACGGGTTTGTTAGTGATAAGAGATATATAGATGGTGACGTCACTTTCGAAAGGAGCAATCACGGAGAATGGACCGGGTTAGGGTATTTGTCGTAATACAGGGGTAAGATACACTGAATAATCGAGGGTGAACTGAAAAATAAGGTCATTAATTGGCAAAGGTTATGAATAAATTAAAAGCACTGCGATCCAAAACAAAACATAAGTCATATATTGTATTCATTATTTTTTCAGCACTATTTATTTTTGCACCTTTGATGTATATATATATATGTATATATATATGTATATATATATATATACAGATATATATATATATATATATATACATCTAATTTCACCACAGCCATATATGTACAGAAGAATAGTTATGAATGAGGTCACTTCGTCGTCAGTAACAACCTAACCACGTCCCCAGGGCGGACATCTGTGCCAGAATCATCTTCCATCATTGCACCTGCAGCAGCATCTCCGTCGAAACTGACAACGACGAACAATGTGGACACGGTGTCTCAATGACGGCTATATGGCAACGGACCGAAGTCTTCCTTTTCTGTTGTTCTGACTCGTGTTTCTGGCAATTGTGTTCCTGGGAGAGGTGTCTATTGGCACAGTTCAATATAAGAGTATGTAGGACTCTCCAGCACTATTTCTTCCCGATGACGTCATTTATGACGTCAATAAATTAGGTGTGACGTCATATCCGTTTATGATGTCATTCTGAGACAGGACGTCTACCACGAGTGGTAATACATTTCACGTCATTCTGACGCAAACTTTTCACCATGTCGTATAACGTGATTCGTATCACGTGGTTTGGCTAAAGTAGGGGTAGTATATCGAATGCGCCTGTCCGGGATATGACGCGTGCGCTCTGAATAGTCCAAGATGCCCTAATATATTGTGATTTGGGAGGTATGGATGGAGGCCTTGGCCGTACAACATGCTGGCAGAGTAAGGTGACGAAAAAGTGCTCATACTTCCAGATGAGGGAGGAATTGTAGGACTGTTCACATCCAAACCTGGGTTCTGCTTCTTCCATTTTGTTCTTCTGTTCTGGAACCAGATTTTGACCTGAGTTTCAGTGAGGTTCAAGGACAGGGCCAAGTTGAGTCGCTCGCACACTGACAGATAGCGAGTCGTTTTGAACTTGTTTTCCAGGGCCACCAATTGTTCATAAGTGAAGGCTGTTCGCGCCCGTCTTGGTTTCCCTGCCTTTCCACCGTCAGATGACGACGACTTATTACGACGTCTTTCTCGGTCCTTATCGTCATTATCATCGTCGTCATCACATTTGTCATCACCGTCCATGATGTCGTTGTCGTCAGAGTCGCCGCCATGGTCACGTGACAAGAGATCATCGTCGTGAGGTGAACCTGGAAAGTGAGAATACGGACTTAAACAATATTCACAGCCAATTTCAACATCTGTAAACGATCAAGATTCAGATATAGAAATTTGTTAGCGCCAAAAACACATATGTATTTTGTCCTGATGGCATGTATTCAATAAATACTCGTCGGTGTTATTTTTCTTCTTTTAAAATAGTTTTATTGACGACTCGGTAGAGATGTGAAACACATTTTGGAGCAACGAATCAAATAATGTACCAATTGGAACTCTCAAGACACAGAGTAAAACCTCGTTTTCCCGGACAACTTTAGAGCGAACACCGTTAGTAAAGAGCCCCTGCTTTCGATAACTGCTAAAAATGCTACATAAAAATTATAACACAAAGGCCAGTAACAAAGTTTCGTCAATCTGGAAATTCGTCGTTCCGGACGATTTCGCTTGGGACGGTAACATCCGATTAACGGGGTTTGCCTGCGTTCCGGTTGAATGCCCCAGTCGTAATAGATGTTTTAGGTGAGGTGAAATTGGGTTTAACGTCGCGTCCAAGATTATTGCACTTATATAGCGACGTGCATGCACGTGTATGTGTGTGTGGCTGCTTGTACTAGTCCGGACTGATGCCGATTTATAGTGCTAGCTCACTGAGATACCATGCCGCAGTTTAACATGAATACCCCACTCAGACACAGTATACTGACTCCGAGCCGACCAGTCCTTGTTTTAGCCCCTTAATGCCGAGCGCCAGACAGGGTAACAACAAGTACAATCTTTTAACGTCTTTTTGTATGACGCGGCCCGGGATCGAACCCTGGACCTTCCGCTCTCCGGGCGGAAATAGATGTTTTAAACAAAGCCAACCTTTCTAAAGCGTAGGACACATAACGTGTATGAATAGTATTACATTTAATTAAAATTAAAATAATTCAATTAATTGTATTTTTTTCAAAAGAATCTGCAGTCTTATCAAGGAAACTTGACTTGGTTTAGGTTGATCTAGTTTTTCTTATTTGGTTGCTGAGAGAACTAAACGGTTGCTAGGGATGTGAAAAGTGCTTGTTGTAATCATTTCAGCTTTACAGCGTACCTTACGTTAGTAAGTCTATTTACAGGTTACATTATGTATAACTTGGTAGTGACTGATAGATTTTTTTTAATGTTCTGCATCATTATGATTTGTGTTAGTTTTTGGGGAATATGCAGTTACAATAAAGTTGTTTGTTTAGTATGTGTTTGATGTTATCACAGCAGCGGTAATATATGATTGAGGGATATGGATTTTATTTTCTAGAATTTTCGTTGTATATGAAAACGCTTTTTTCATAAATTTAGCAAAATCTATTTTTTTCGAAAATAGTAACAAATGACTTAACGCACGTGCTGGCTTGAGTGACAGATGCGGATGTAAGGTTCACACCACGAGGTACTGAGATCTTAAAACTCCGTCTGTCTCCGTTAAATGGAAACTTTTGTCCAGCTCGACAAAGTTGAATTTCTGTAGCATTTGGTGAAGTTTCACAAGAAGAGTAAAAGTGAAAATGCAAAAGAACATGTTATTGAAATGATAATAGCTCAGCGAGCCCTTCTGTGGAGGTGTCTGATTGGATAAACCCGCTCCGTCCCACTGTCGCGATCCGCGTTCAATTCATGGCGGCAATATAACAATTTAGCCAACAGATTCAGCATTAGAAACAATTGTCCACGGTGCTGATTCTCTCTGATCCTGGAGTACTTCACGAGCTGCTGACCAAATTAGGACATTGTTCCCCCCGCATATCGGTCTGTTTTCCCCGCATACATATTTGATTTATATGTGTCCGATCACAGGAACAAACACTCATAGCTGTATTGCCTCCTTGCGACATTAGGACTTTCAGCAACGGGAGAGGTTTATCATTGTCAAGTGGCGTCTTGTCTAAAGATGCATAAATACTGGGTCGATCCCGCCGTACCGACTATAGAAGAATAAACGAGCAGACAAAGGGATGATTTAAACATTAAATGCGTCAGCGACGCTTTTCAACCTATCTTAAAGCGCATCTTTAGATCGCCATTCGGCCCAGCTACATTCAGTCTCATGGGACATCATCAATTTCCAATCTTTTCATATCGGGTCAGTCCCCTCCCCCTCACACCACCCCTCACCCCCACCCCCGTCTATTAATCGCTGGAGATGGGAGAAGCCAGTGGAACAGATGTGCTTGCTAATTTCTGCCCTAGTGTCGCGCGACACTAAAATCGCTAATATTTAATTGGCAAATTTCTCAGTTGAACGCTTTCTAGTGGTTGTGATGGAGCCGAGATAGCCTGAGTTGACCCTGCGATTGTGTGTTGGAGTAGAGACCGGTCAAGTCTGATGAAGTCGCTATTATATGAACTGCAAACCGGTTACCCCCATCTCCTCCCCCACCCCCAAGCCCCACCCGCAACTAGCGTCTCTCTCTAACTTTCCATTCATGTTATTCATCCGCGCAATCGAACAACCTCTAGAGTAACTATTTTTACCCTTCTCCAGCCTACACCCCCCCCCCCCCCCCCCCATCACCTCCCCTACCCCTCACCCCCGACAATCAGCTTCCTAACCCGACCCAACGTATCAGCTACGTCAAACGACACGACAGCTCTTAAGCCACTCGTCACAATATATTAAAACCGAAGATCGCCCATAAGTTATTTCACCAGTATAATTCAGTTTCCCTATTATCACCCCACTCTGTTAATTCCAATGTCTTCATACATAATTCATGTTGAGATTAACAAGAATTGTAATATTCTTTTATTTAAAATGTAGGAAAAGTTCACACACAAAAACATCTTTACACCTTTGACAGTACGTGCGGTGGTTTTTTTTAAAACATCGCGATCGGTTGCCTGTTTGAATGCATTTGTCGAAAACATTAAACCTTATAAACTGTTATTTCAGTTCGTACATACGTTTTCTACAGCATATTTTCTGCCCCGCAAAGTTCTCATCGAATAACACTTAACATTCTGCAAGACACAACCAACAGCATAATACCCATTTAAATGCATTTTGATGTAGTTTTTTCTTATTGGCTAACGTAAACAACTCTACATTGTAATGGTATGTTTTCTTGTAATAATCATACGATGCATTAAAATTCCATTTGACGCTGTTCATATGTAGAAGAATAATAGCGCCCCTTTGCATGCAAGATAAATTTTCTTAGCTATCTACGGTTAAGCTACATGCATGGACATTTAAACCAAGACCATGAGAAACAAGGGACGGGGTTAGGCAGAATGGGAGGGGGGGTCTTTTCCTGTTGCATTTGCTAACTTATAATCAATATTTTGACATGGCTCATTTACCAACCATGTTTCCGGAAAGAATGGATTTCAAAATTATTACAGTTAATCGTTTATCCTGTTTTGGGAGCTCCTATGCGAACCATCTCGATGCTGTTGGCTAATGGAGTTTAGCCTTGAACGAACGTGATAGACACACGATCACGTCTAAAAGAGCGAGCTGTCTTCTTGCTTCATATACCGTGTGTTAAAAAGTGGCATTTTCGATTTAAAAACGTGTTATTTCCATGTAAGCTAATTAACCCGCTAGTTTCTTGATGATGCCTGTCGCTTAACTAGTTAACTACTTCCGTGGAGATTCGTTCCTCCCAATGTTTACGCAACATCACCGGCGTTAAGCACACGCGTTATGTTTGAAATTCATACAGGAAATATGAGCTTTTAATTAACATGGTAATTATTGTATGTTTATATAAGAACGCACACATGAACAACACGTGTCGGTAACGCTAAATATCTTCCACTGTCGTAAGCCGAAGTAATAAAAACCACGCATTGAAATGACCCAGTATTTGAGCAGCTAACATCAACTCGCGTATTGCTAAACTGTTTGTATTTCGTAAAATATATGTTATTTTATGGCCCGATTTTCCTTTCCATAAACATCCTGACATAAATGTATGTTATCGAAGGAATGTCAGTTGAAGGTTTAAAAATCGAATTATTCACATATTCCATGGGGGAAAACAATTCCCCCTTTCTACGATTTCTTATTAAATATATATTATTCGTTTTGTAATGTGATAGGCGTATCAAAATAATTCGGCTTAACCTCCAATCGGAATTTGCAGATCGATGACAGCTGACGCAGGAATTGTGAGGCTTTAATTAAAATCTGATCGCCAGTGCGGTTGATTTTTCACTCAATTTGTCGATGGTGTTTACTTCAACATTTAATAAAACGGCAAAAAGTAATTAGAAGTATATCTCAGTTTGACAGGCGAGTACCAGGGGAAGGACGTTTCTTAACATCGATGATACGTAATGCATATGTCAAGTAAATATCATTTCCAAATGTTGCAGTAATTCAATATAAACTCGTATATTAAATATGTTGACGCTTTATGTTATTAAGTAAATATATGTTGCCAATTTCTATTGACCCAGTATGCTCCAGATGGGGAGATATTGTCACAGAGGAAATATCCCATTTTGTCTATTTGAGCGTTCGTCTTTACACTGTGCTCCCTTCTATTACGTGGAACTGTTTATAAAGAATTTATCAAAATTACTATTTGATTCACCAGCAGAATGTGAGAAAAATGTTGTCAAAGATGGTTTACTTTCATTGATTATTAAGTATAGGAATAGTCAATATTGAAAAACACATTTAATGATTATGTAAGTACACTTTCAACTAATCGGTATTACAATCTCAACAAAAACTGCACCGTGACAGTCCATTTATATCACTTATTTTGCGTATTCAGTGACCATGAAATATATTCGACAGCAAAACTGCACCGTGACAGTCAATTTATATCACTTATTCTGCGTATTCAGTGACCATGAAATATATTCGACTGGGTGATTTAAATAGGGTTTTTTTTTCAATTTAGTGTTAATGTTTTTTGTTAAAAGGAGTGGTATTTGATGGCCTTTGTAACGTATGTTTCTGACTTGATGTACTACAATGCCGTCACGGTCAATGTAAAACACGTTTAGGGTAAACAGGTCTCTGTAAAACCAGGAGATGTGTGGAGTTTAGAGTTTAGTGCTATGTAAGTGAACCCAAACATCGATAATGACTCTTGTAATATAACATAACGACTTCTTCAAAGTCCCCCCCGCTGGTACAACGCATTACACGTGCTGTCTAATAACCCCACAAAGTCATTGACCACTGGTCAGGGACACTCAAGACAGCGACAGTGCCTTTAATCTATTAATGAGTTTACCAGATTTGTTGACAGAAGCTCTTACAGGACGCTGCGCGAGTAATACAAATAAATATATAATTACTGAAAAGCTTCTTTCTCTTGATTTTCAGGGGCATGTAACCAGATCTTGTTGTGGTTATGTAGAGTTAGCAGATAGGTGATTTGCCGTGACGAGACATTAGATTTGTGTGTGATGATCTACAGCTAGCCGGGACACACGCTTCTAATCTACCCTCCCCGTGGGAACATTGGTATCCCCGTCGTAGAAATTCTTAGGAATCTGACTTAACTAATTATTATCATTGGGACATGGGTCTCTTACAATACGCGTTGACAGATTAAGTTAAGATGAAATAACCGTGAAAGTATCTTAAATAATTTCGATTTGGAAAAGGCATATTGTGTTCAAGTATATTGCTTTCACATCGACACATAAGAATTAAAGTGTTAAAAAAAGGCTGTATACTGATATAATTGAATTTTTTAAAAGTGGGTTGGTTGTTTTTTCGGCTGAATTTTATCATGTGTTTTTTCGGATTCCGCAAAAAATTCGTTCTGGTGTTGGAAAATGTGGATTTCCATTTAAAACGAACTTGAACCGATTACGTAAAAAGCAGATTGCATAAAGACCCAGATCAAATAAAAAGTAGAAGCGAAGCGTAATGGCTCCAAGTTTGACGACGATAATGACGAATGCAGACGGAGGAGGCAAGAAAGCTTGTATTGGCTCAATAAAATAAATATAAGAATAAATAACCTCAACGTGACACGAAATAAAGATTTATTATGATAAACAAAACATAGAGCAACATGGCAAAACATAACCGGTTTTATGGGTTGGTGAAAATATGTATATGGTATATTTGTGAGGTTTTAATATGAACAAAATACGTGGTCGCAGTATTGATCCGTTTAAATAGAAATTTTCGCCACATTTGTTTGGAAAACTGCAACTGTCGTTCAAAAAATCTACAATGTTTAGTTTATAAGTTGATAATCAAAGAACAGTATCACAAACAAAAAAACAAGTAATTTTAGTATGTATATATTTGTTCGTTTTGACAACAAAATATGCTATGACATATATATAGGTCTGTTCTACAATTTCCTTGATAGAAATGAAATACATTGAATAGAATGCAACACATTTACTTTAAGAAGAAAACGTATGCTATTTTTACGCTCGACTGATACACATTAATCGAATTTAAATAAAAGGTTTTGCATGACTGATATTTCTGAGTAAATAATTATTTTCAAGAGAAAGTCAAAAGAATATAATAATAAAAACGAACTGACAATTTACTCTGTGAGACTGCCTATGGTTATTCTATAACATTGACGAACATGTGCTTCTGTGTAAACAGATACGAAAATAAGAACAAATCAATAAAATGTGTCAACAAAAAAAGCAGATCAATATTTTACCTGAGCTATGTGTGAGGTCATCCAGTTGACTGGGGTCACAGGAGCTCTCGTCCCTCCACGGATGCCACACCCGGGATTTTGTAGTGCCGGTGAATTTGCTGGGGTCGAGAATATCTGCCACCCTAAACGATGTCGTTTGAACTTTCGGCTCATCCGGAGATTCCGCCCTGTGGGGTGAGGGTGTGTGACGTGACCCCCCGGGACTAGGGGTGGGTGTGGGAGTGTCCGACTCTCTCCCCTCCTTGGGAATCTTCTCACTCTCCTCTATATCCGTGTCGGGAAATGTTTCGGAGTGATCGTCATCGGACACCGGGCTGTCTGGGCCGCGGGTATCGGCGAGTCTGTTGACTAAGGTGTCCATCCTGTGTTGATATAACTGTTGCAAAAGACGGACCGAATATTCTCTCAGTCGTTCATACGTTTCACCCTGAGGGCAGGGTACTTCTGTCTGGTTCTGCATACACTCAAATTGAACAAAAACACAAAATAAAATCTGTCATCAGTGGCCTACGTTTGGAAACTAGAGCGTCACTTCAAATTCAAACTACGTCTCGGCTGGGGTATTCTGTCGCTCTGGAACACAACAGACCGGCTAGCTGAGATGAAAGGTAACGACCGAACTAGACGAGTCTTCAAAACAAGCTTTCTGTCTTCACTCCGAGTGCGACCCGTATGCACCTTGCTTGATTGTTATAATGGGATGGCAGTAACAAGTGCTTTCAGCGATCCTAACTTATGCGCATGCGTAGTACCTCCCCTCGCTCGTGCGCTCGCTCCTGTGGGTCGGCGAGCCTAATTGAAAGAGAACTCCTATTAATTCCTCAGAGCGTCGCTAATTGGCTATCGCTTTAATTGATAGCATTAAGTTGGAAATGAGATGAGACTTGGAGCTTGGGCGCGATTAGCTCCAAGTTACTGATGAAGAAGAGCTGACGGTAATTTTACAATAAATTTAGCGGGCGTTGGGAGACGCGATCGACTGCCGCGGAAATGTGTTGACTAGAGTGTGAGGGAGCGAGCTGTTCTATGGCCCTAACTCATAGTCAATAACGAATGATCTATCCGCGATTTTAGAAGGAATTTCTCACACATGCAAAGGATCATTTGAGCGTATAGAGAGGGGAAAATGACAATTTTCATTGTGTGATGGCAATAACTTGCTTCGTTTTAGAAGTTCTAAATTGTTAATACCAAGCTCTTAAGACACGGGGAGATAAAAGTGAAAGTGATGTTGAGAATCGGTCTCAGGAGATGTCATTATGGTTTGACCAGCACGTGGGTAAACTAAGAGAACATTATCCCTCTACCCCCCTCCCCCTCCCCATCTAACGCTACCCCGGGGGTTTGACGAGGAAATCATGTGTCGGGGGATCTGGTCGAGGGCACATGTCCCACGTTCTCGACATAAAGTGAGATCTCAATCAAACTGCCACTTTCAGAAATTCAAGAAATTCCTTGAGTTTAAATTTAAGGGCTTTTTATCTAAGTAATTGAAAGAGCACAGGAGCACGTTTTTTTAAATGTGACATATGTAAAATCAGTCATGTTTGTGATCTTATATATACATATAATTAACAGATTTTCATTTGGATTATTCCAGCTAAATAACGCGAATGTGGCAAGGAATCTACGAAATGTTTCAAATCTCAACTCTGAATCTAACTTGAGGGTGTGATGCTATTTATACTGTCATTTACCCTCAACCACAAAGAACACGTATTTAAACACACACCACACATGAATATAAACATGCATTTGAACACACACACACACACACACACACACACACACACACACACACACATCTGTATATACATAAGAAAAGGGACTGTTTTTATTGCGCCTTTTCAACATCATATTATCGCATTTATTAGTTTTGTCGTTTTATCGTAAATTGCATTGGGTGTCAGTTTTATATTTTTTAAGTGTTAATTATGAACATTCGTTGGTGATATTAACATATTTATTCTCGGAAGGAACCTTTTTTTTTCTTCTCAACTTGGTTTTATGCATGTGTAATATTTGATCAGCGTTGACACATGATCCGGTTTGCACGCGTATCCTCGTGGCGTGATATCGATTAATGCATGAACGTTGTGCAAGTCCCGGATATGAGACTGATTCCTCCGTATGTTGCTTACCTCAATACATAATTAACCAAAACGGGAACGAAATCTACCGATTTCATCGAAATAAAATTTAAGTCATAACAGAAACACGCGAGGACACGTGACTTAAAAGTTACATAATTTTAAGAAAGATGCATTTTATACTCTAAATAATTCTTTCGTTAATTAAAACAAAACATTTAGAAATATCTTTCTGAGAAACATCTTTACCCGATATTCTTTGTAGAAATAACAGAAAATCTCGAAGAAAATATTGATCTGCTAGCGATGGATGAATGACAAAAAACAAGGCCAACGTCTGTGTCAGTTTCGACGTATTTTTAATATGTTGAACACTCGAGTTATATACTTGTCAGTTTGATATGCTTGGCCATTGAGTGTTAAAATCATTTCGAGTTTTTATTGCAGTGTTCTATGGAATTATTAATCAAATGAATGAAATATTAATTAAACATCGACCTAAACTACGTATATCTAGGGAGTTTATTGTATATAAACCCCCCGTTAAATGTAAATTTCATTATCGAGGGATATCCACCCTTCTCGCCAAACAACAGCATGTAATACACTCATTTCAACAAGCACGTATTTCTAAAAGTTCGGGAATATTTAAATAACAATTTAACAAAATAATATTTTTTAAAGTGTCTATCTTGTGTGAGATAGTTCACCTTACGATTGACCTTTCTTTTGTGTCCATTCGAGCCATCAGCCCTTCAAATGCGTATAATGACAAATTATAATGACTTCACCACTCACGAGCTGTTATCGCCTGAATAAGCCTGTCCGACAAGCGTGATGATAAATATTTGGCTATCTTTTCAATTGTTGAAACACAAGTGTCTCCCCGCCGCTCATTACAGTGTGTATTTTCTTATAGACATTGACCGCAGCCGGACTACCCAGGGGAACGCTCACGTGCTATACTGACCACTGGTCAAGCAAACTCAGCGGCAGGAATGGGGCTGTGATTTTACAACACTGGTTATCGAAGGAAAATAGTTGCATTATTTGTCTCAACGAATAAAACGAGTTTAACATTTCGTTTGTATTTTGTTCAATTTTTAAAGTGAAGAATACGAGGACTTCTTACATGAACCATTTTGGCTATTTTCCATTTATACTGAAGCATCTTCGGGGAAAGCTATGCATGAATCTGTTGAATCCTTGAATCCGGCTGATGAACGGAACTCGACGCATGGTGAGAGCTTCACGGTACATTGTTAACACGATATTTTGGAAGTACGCATGTACGAAGATAAATATGCTGCCAAAATATGCTTGACAAAATTCATTATTATTTGTTGTTTAGTTGAAGCTCGAAAACAAAATTAACATCAGCTGCAAATTCTTGGAGTGTTTTCTCTTGTCGCGTTTTTTCATAGCTCCTGTGTCCCTGTGCTTCAACAAAAATGCATTGTTGTAAGAATGCGGCAAGTTGAAAGAACTTTTCCATATGTCGGAAGTAGAAAGAAAATTCCAAACTCCCCAGGCGATTTCTAATATTGCTCTATTGAAACTATTTTAACATCATTACTGAAACGCATAATTTTACATTTGATCGTTGAACTTTTTAACGTACATAAATATATTTTCATAAATACAATGGTTTTTACCATTGTATTCTACAAATAATTTAATAATGCTCTCAAAATATTAACAAACATAAGAACGTATTCTATGTTCATATTTTAACGAGTACAATATAATTTTTGATAATTGCAAATATTTCAAATAATATCAAACAATCAACAATATTTGGCAATAGTTCTTATTTAAGATATCGAAATCGGTATAACAATGTACTTGAAGTAATAAATGTTCATGCTTTACACTTTCCAATAACAGGTATATATACATACGTATGAAAAACATTTAAATATTTCTTTATAACCTAACCATATAATGTCAATCCAGTTACAAGTACAAATAGTTTTAACAGCCGGGTTTACTTTATTAACACTCAGCAATTTGTTATTGATTTACTTCAACAAAATGTAAATTGTATTTCTATTAAAATCTGAGGGTTGCTAGAAATACCAATATTACCGTTACTAATTTGACACTATCAGTACCGTTCAATAATATATGACAGATTGGATTTGACACATATTTGCTCGTACAAGCACCTATCCCACTATCAAGAAAAGTTAAATCGAACGGAACCTGTGGTACTCTAATGAAGACACTTTTACCATGACCGCCCCGCCTTGACGAGCACGAGACACCACGGACAGGTGCCCGCTACCCTTAGGGCCAATTCCCTACCCCCGGGCCGACAGCACGTGGGACCAGCACGAGACACGGACAGCTATCACTACAGCAATATTATCTGTCAGTTTGACCATTTGCGGATGACACCTGTCTCCTAATTTTATCCAAATATCATAACAAACCCTTTATTAAATTCTCACCTGACCAAGCAAGATGATGTCTTATAAGGTTATGCAAAACTACAGCGAAACATGACCGTATGGTGTTATATTTGTGAAAGTTTCGGTGTTAACAAAAGATGTTATACCAGTCTTTAAAGTGAAATAACCGTTTTACTTTTGGGGACCAGGACTTTATATCATCCCGTATGTATGCACAAAACAGTTTCACAATGCTTGCAATTGCAAAAGCAGTGTTATGAATAAAATGCACGATGAAACGTGATGGGAATATGTTTTTATAAGAATTCTGTTGCAGGAATTGTTTTCATAGGAAGAACCAAGAAATTCAATAGTATTTGTGATTATGTACGGCTCTAACACCTCGATTTAAAACCGATTTCCAGAAACTTTTTTTCCGAGAAATACAAGCTATTTACATTTATTTTCTATTTGTTCTTTTTAAAAAGTAATTTAACAATTACACCCTTTCGTTTCTCTGTAGATTCGACTGTGCAGCGAAACCTTTCTGAAATCAGTGTACACTAAATGTGTAGTTCAAAATCGGTTTGATATAACGTACATGGTGTTTAAAGCGCGTTGGGTCAGGATGGTAAACGCATATGTTTGTGGCCTAGGGAATACATCATTAAAGGAATCAAATGCCAATTTTATACGGGTCTTGTTGTAATCTGTACATATTTAAATATAGCTTATAACAGATTACTCACATATTCTTATTCAATTACAAGAGCCGTGAGTGAGTGTGTGAGTGTGTGAGTGGATGAGTGAGTGAGTGAGTGAGTCTAGTGGGTGAGTGAGTGTGTCTTAGACACCAAGAATAGGCTTCAATCAGTGAACCCAGTGGGGAATCAAACCCAGATTCCTGGCCAGAAATGTATACACCCGTGGTTGATGGTGCCTGTTTATGAATCAAACAAGAAATGGTTATTCGATGGTGATATATTTTATACGTGTATCATGGACGCGACCTGCCTGATACAAGTCCTGTGTTTCGGTGACTGTTTCAGCCTGGTAACCTTTTCATCGCGTTTGTAATATTTTGGTAATATACACTTTTCAAGTGAATACTTTTTGTGCCCGGCAGTTCAGGTAACTATTCAAACATATGTCATGCAGTGAGAACTGTGATGCTCCAAGGAACGATTTTAGTTTTTTTCTCTTCAGATTCCCCGTTACTTTAAAAAAATAAA